TGAGTTGGTCGGTCAACTTGACATCCCCAAAGCGAGTGGAGGTGGGCAGGCATGAAAACTGATTGGTAGCTGGCTTGTTGGTGTTTTACCAAGCTCTATGTAAAGGGCTGGAATAAGAAGGAGGGCAGTTCGTCTCAGAAGTGGAGACTGCGCCCGTCGCCTCGACAGTAGGAAAGAGACAAAATTTTTTCTTTTGTGACACATTTCAACACATAGCTTAGTGTGTATGTGCAACAGAGTACAAAGTCAGTCTGTACCAAGTGGCTTCACTCTGTGAACTTTAGCTTCATTACCATAGCAACAGTTCTGATAAATTTTATTAGTCCTGATAAAGTAAGGCAGTTTTGACAAAATACAATAAGTACTTTATACAGTTTTAAAATGTATTAAGATTTAAATTGTGAAATATCCATCAATGAAGTATGTCTGGTCTAAAATAGGGTTCAGCTGGCATTGTTGCTTTGAGTTGGGTTGGACACAATTATATGAAACCCACTGATGTTTAAAGATGAGACATTGCTCTACAACAAGGTAAAATTTTTGTTTTTTGTTTAAGTTGAATTTTTATCTATTTAATCCACTAAAGTTTTCAATTTTTTGTGAAAGACATCTCCAAACTGTATAATTAAAGCCATCAAATAGACATGCATCCTTTTTATTCTTTAGGGAAAGACTACATTGATAAGTGTAGGAAGACACATCACCACTATGACATTCTTGTAGAATTTAGTTCGAGAGGAAAAAGTACCAAGAGGTGATATCTGGGGAATGTTGTCTTTGGCCAAAAACTGCTGCACAAGCTATAGTCACTTGTGGTGTGTTGAGATAACTACACACTTTTCTTTCAAGTACTGTTACAAATGGAAGTGAGCAAGAATGTTATAACTTAGCATGTATGAATGACAGTACAAAGTCAGTCTGTGCCAAGTAGATTCACTCTGCATACCATAACAATAGTTCCAATACTTTTTATTAGTCCTCATACAGTAAGGCAGTTTGGACAAAATACAATAAGTACTTTATACAGTTTTAAAATGTATCAAGATTTAAATTGTGAAATATCGATCAATGAAGTATGATTTAAATTGGAGTTCAGATGGTGATGTTCATTCACTTGATCAACAATTCAAATTTCAATGTGACAAAATGGACGATATAATTTCTCTTTTTGATTCACATGTGCTTTGAGTTGGATGAACACCGTGATATGAAACCCACTGATGTTTAAAGATGAGACATTGCTCTACAACAAGGTGAAATTTTCATTTTTTTTAAAAGTTGAATTTATCTATTTAATCCACTAATGTTTTCAGCTTAAATTTTTTTGTGAAAGACAACTCCAAACTCTCTATTAAGGCCACCAGATAAACAAGCATCCTTTTTTTCTTTCGAAAGAGACTATGCTAATATGTGTAGGGAGACGCATCAAGTAAAGAAAACACCACTATGACATTCTTAGCTTTGAAAATGTGACATAATTTAAAGAGAGAATAAAAATTAATCATCTCAAACTAAAAAGAATTATAACTTCATAAAGAGAAAAGATTCAATTTTTTTTTTTGCATACTGTTATAGACAAGCGTATGGTTGCAAGAAAGAAATACGACAACAGCAGAAATAGATTTATGTGATTTATTTCAATAGGAACGTGTGGGTTTGGGACAGATACCATGTGATATAGTTCATAAGCTGGCTTCGGATCTGGGTTGATCTCTCATAGTAGTTCGCACTGATTGGCGTGGCGCTCCTCCTGCTGACTGCCGCCGACCGCTCAGCCTGACCGTGACAGATCTCTTCTCTGGCCTCCTGTTGACTCCTCTTGTTGTACTTCTGTGTGACTTCTTTTATGGCTTAACAGGCCCGAAAAACGACACAAGTATAATTAGGAGGGAAGCATTTTTATTGGTCGAAAAATAGAAACACTTTAAAATATTGTTTTATTTTTTGTCAGGAACGTGCATAAACAAAGATAATGGTCATTTTGTGACGGGGCCTTGTCCCGTTCACATCCGGCTCTCGCTCTTGAGTGGCTTAGTTTATTTGCCTGCATATCAACAAAGATATGTCTTATTTTATTTTATGACAATACTAATTTTATCAAAATAACCTTGGAAATAAAGCAAGATCTCATCAGTTGAACTTGTTTTCACAGTGTAAACATTGTGGTTTGGAATAACTACATTAAATAAGCATTTCAAAAAAATAATGTATGTTAAGCAACAAAGGCAATGCAACTGTAGTGATGGACAAAACAGAATATAGAGAAAAACTGGAAGACCTGATTAGAAATGGTACCTATAGTAAAGAAAGAGCCAACAATGAAAACAGAAAGAAAACTGTTACAGATCCTGATCCTAATCAAAAACAAAGAACATTTCTCACCTGAGATATACAGGCAGTTGTCCAATTTTGAACCTAAAGTTCATCTTTAAACTTATTTCCTCCAAAAATGGTAATGACTTAGATAATGACATAAAATATATTTTTCAATCTAAACCCAATTTTCAAATTGAGTGCAATGCCACAGTTCCAAAATCGACCTGCCTTAACATACCAACACCACCAGCTCTTGCAAGATCGACACAATTGTACAGCCTTCCACTTTTCCCCCACTACAATCTTTAGAAATTAAACATGTAAACACTAACAGAGTTTCAAAAATGTCTAGTAGAATCCAGACACACACAGATTAACACAAGAAAAAAAAAACAAACATGTGACACCCTGGTCAACTAGTATTATATGGCCCCACATGTCACATAACAAGCTGAATTCTAACAGGGCAATGTAATGTAAACAAAAAACAAATGTGAATAGCCATTTACAAAACTGCTAATCTAAAAGGGATGTAACTTTAAAAATTGAATTCTTAGAACGTAAATTAACAAAGTACAATTAAATAGAATTTATCAGACATTATTTCAATTCCCTAGATATGTTTGCAACACTAAAATGCATATTTACACTTTTTTTTTTTTTTACTAATCCATGAATTATAAACAGCTGAGTTACCTCACTTTCATGATTTTCAATTGCGTATACAGCCCATTTTGCAAATGAATGCTATCAGATAAATTTTCTACCTTATAATTCATTGCATTTAAAGATTGTTGTGTTATTTTGGTTAACAAATGTGTTGGGTTTGGCTGTTCTAGTGGATATGTTATTAACAGTGAAAAAGTATCAACATTTTCTTTTCCTCATAGAAAATCCTACCTCATGGAAAAATGAATAAACTTTGTTAATTGTATTGATTGGTTTTCTATGAAAAATTCAGTTCTCTGTATGAAATATTTTGAAGAAAGATTTATTTTGAAAGGAAAATGAAACAAACTGAATTGGGATTTACATCCAATACCTAAAATACATTCAGAAAAATTAGAAAACCATCTTTTTTGCTGAATACAAAGGAATTCAGAAAGCCTCCAAAACAGTGACTGGTCCAAGCTGATGAAATACATGAATTTATTTCAGCTGATAGGATAAAGGATTTTACTCAGTTGGAAAAAAGCAAAGTGTTGTCTTAATGGCTTTGAATTTAAAAAAAAAAAAAAGATTATATTCTAATTTATAGAATAGTCTTTAACCCTGAAACACATTTTTCATCTATAAAAGAATGTATTTGCATTGACCAAAACCTTCATGCCCAGTTTCAGTGCAGTAGAATGCCTATAATGTTACCACAGTTGTTAATACATGGACATAATGCTACTCATAAGATTTAGCATGTTAGAAAATTTTCCAAACTATATACAAAATGTGGTGGAAGAACAACCATACTTAAGAGATGTATTTGTATTTCTTATGGTGGCTTTTTCTTTCATGTTAGGCCTTTGTGATTTAATGCTATTAGATTCCCAAGGAATGTGTTTCTGGTGTTTGTTTTAAGGATAGTGATTTTCTAAGCGCTGCTTAGATGTGGCACAAGGCCGGAAGTATGGAGCACCCAGTGAGGATCGAACTCACTATTCAGTCGTAATTGTTCTAGCGAGACCAGCTTGCTAACCATTACACCATGCTGAGGTACCCTAATATTGATTTTCAAAGAGGCTTAGATGTGGCACATGGCCGAAAGTATGGGGTACCCAGTGAGTTGTTGAACTCTAAGCCTGGCTTAGATGTGGCACAAGGCCGAAAGTATGGAGCACCCAGTAATTGATCTAGCAAGACAAGCTTTCTAACCATTACACCACGTTGAGGTGCCCTTTTTGTTTTAAGGATATGACATCTGCTGCCGCTTTTTCATGAGAAGTGATAAAATTATTGTAGGTTTTATGTGTTGCTTCTGCTTATGATGTTTCAAACTTATTCCTGAGAGCATTGGCACAGTTTTCCTACAGCATCTAGAAAATGCTGACAATGATATTGAACTCTATATTAATGCCTCTAAAACTGAATTCATAGGCTTCAACCAGCAAGGCTCAATACAAACTGTCTCAGGTGAATCAATAAAATCTATCAAATCTTTTACGTACCTAGAAAATAGAATAAATTCTACCAAAAAGGATATGAAAATTCACATGGCTAAAGCTGGGCTGCCTTGAATAAAATAGATGTCATCTGGAAACCTGATCTACCAGACAACCTCAAGCAGAGATTCTCTCATGCTACTGAACAGTCAGTGTTAATGTATGGTGCCACTGCCTGGACATTAACTAAAACCCTAGCGTCTAAGCTTGATTGAACCTACGCATGGATGATGAGAGCTATACTTAACATCTCCTGGAGACAACATCCAACTAAATCACATTTCTATGGACACATCCCAGATATTTCTACAATCTTACATGAACACATGGTGAGCAAAACAAAAACTCACAAGTGATCTACTGTTGTGGAGACCTAAACATGGATCAATCTATGTTGACCAGTTATGACATAGAATGCCTCCTTAAGTTAAGCAACGTCAAGCCTGATCAGTAACTAGATGGGTGACCGCTTTGGAATACCAGGTGCTGTAAGCTTTGATGTGCAGCAGTTATGGCTTATATATACATCACGTTGAAACACCGGTTCTCATACAATTACCGAAGGTAAGCAATGTCGAAGCTGGTCAGTACCTAGATGGGTGACCACTTGGGAATACCAGGTGTTGTAAGATTCGATGCAAGGCCATGAATGTCCAAAATGATTTGACAATATATATATATATATATATAATGATAGAATAAGGAGCATGCAGGTATACTTAATTAAAACTTTTATTTAATATAAATTATTAGAGAAATGTAGTTGCAGTGTTCAACAGAATATGCAAATCCTTACAAGTTAAATTCATAAGTCACAGAACTGATGCAGATCTGATTAAAACTTTAATATGAAAGTAAATTAGAAAATAACATGAAATTAAACTGAAAGATTTTTTTCTCTTTGAAAAGAAAAATGTTTTGGAAATGAAAAACTGACCAATGCATGTAAATAATTTTCAGTGATTTTTAGTTTTGAGAAACATTGTTTGGATAATTTATTCTTAATAAGGTGATAGAATTGGGAAGAAACTAAGAAAGTTGGGTGAAATTCAACTTGTAACTTACATTTGTACATGGCCATATATATATATATAGGTCCCTCCACATAAAATGTAATATTAAGTTTTAAAATGAATTTTTTTAAAATGAAAAACCTTTCTTAAAGCTTTCATTTTAGTTTTAATTTCAAGCTAATAAATTAAATTTAATACTTCCAATAAGGAAAATACTTTTCTGTATTTCAAAAACTAAACTGATTGGAAGTTTATTTTTTCAATTAATTAAGAGATTCATGCCCCTTTTTAGTTATCTTTTATTGCAACATAATTCTCTTTATTAAAAAATCTTCCAGAAGTAAAATACACTTTTCTGAAAAATTTTTTTTTTAAGACAATAATGACTTTAATATATCTTATTTATAAAAGCAATTAAAAGCTTTTAAATAATGTCATAGTTTTATTGTATTTTTATTTTACGATTCAGAGCATATTTTTGGTAAATGGTATTTCCGTTTGACAAAAACAATTTGATGATTTAAATTCTCAAAGGAGTCCTGCTTTTAATTAATATAAATATGAAGTGGGTAAAATTTTAATTTCATGAAATTATATGGGGGTAACAGATATAAACTTCTAAAACAATGTGTTTTTTACTGCAAAAAAAAGACACTAAACTCCCATTTTGGCCCACCTGCTGACACAAGAAAACAAGATTTTTAACCAAAATTTTGAACGTGCTAGAAAGGATGAAAATATTTAAGGAAATAGAATATTTTAGCCTTTCCTCTTAATAATAACAAACATTTTGATTATAAAACTGTTTTCATCAAGTTTAGGGCCTTTTTCATCATAGTATGCTCTTCTTTAGCAAATTTTGGAGGTAACTAAATTGTAAAGTTTAAGTGATAATGCTATTAAGTAAAAACCATATCTAGTAATCATAATGCTCTTTTTGAAGGTACCTAGTAAATACTGATAAAAACCATGACACGCAAACAAAAAGAAATCTGACAAAATTGTAATGGTGAGTTCACTATCATTAAAAATACAGTCTATTCATTTTCTTCATATAAAAGTTTTGTCAATTTGCATGAGAATAAAACAAAACTTGGTGTAGATTCACAACTGTATTTTTAAATTTGAATTCCATGTTAATGTTGATCTACATGGTATCATCCATGAATGAAAACAGAAAACAAACTTTTTTTTATGCAATATCTTTTAATATTTATTGAAACTGCTGTCCAAAATATCTGTTATTCAAAAACGAGTACTTCTCTATGAATAAATATTATTTAAAAATTAACATTGGATGTGTTTGCCTTTATTTTCTATTATTGCTTGTAATCTTCCTGATACTCCCTGCAACGCTTTTCTGTTCCAACAGTAGACAATATTTTACATTTTGTAGGTTTTCAATGCTATAAAGCTTAGTCATATGTAATATCACGATATATTTTGTGTAATATTCTACAAGAAATAATAGAATCAATCTATGTGTGATTTAGAAGACACTCTATTGAAAAGAGGTGTACTCATTTACTTCTAGATTGTTTTCCATCTTAATTTTTAACTGGAAATGTCAATCAATAGACAATTTTAATTCAGAATGTTTGTATATACATTTTTAAATTGTCATTTGATAAAAAATTCTGCTTTTTTTATATCAAGTTAATTTTCATAAAAAATCTGAACATTTTATTATTATTTTTACTTGAACATTACAAAAGTAAAATGGTTATTATCTTTTAATATTTATTGAAACTGCTGCCCAAAATATATGTCATCCAAAGATGAGTACTCCTCTATAAATAAATATTTAAAAATTAACATTGGGTGTGTTTGCCTTAATTTTCCATTATTAGTTGTAATCTTCATGACACACCCTGCAAATGTTTTTCTATTCCAACAGTAGACAATATGTTACATTTTGTAGGTTATCAATGTTATAAAGCCTTATCCTATGTAATATTAGATATGTTTTGTGTAATATTCTACAAGAAATAATAGAATCCTGCTATGTGTGATTTAGAAGACCCTCTATTAAACAGTAGAAGGTGCTGACTGTACAAAAAAAAATGCTGTAGATTCTTCTAGATTGTTTTCCATCTTATTTTTTTCACTGGAAATGTCAGTCAACAGACAATAATTCAGTATATGTTTACATATGCATTTTTAAATTCTTATTTGATAGAAAAGTTCAACTTCACACTTTTTGGGAATATTTGTATTTGCTTTTCAAAGTGAAATTCTGGGCAAATGACAACTGATCCAATTGGAAAGAAAATGTGTTCTCTCCAGCATGCATTTGCATGAGTGTATTTTGGTTTTTTTTTTTTTTCAAATGAAGGAGCCTGAAAATGTTGAGCCAAACATTTAACAAGAAAATTATTTTTTCTCTATGTGAATACGCATGTGTTGTTTTAAATGGTAATGACGTGAAAAGGCTGATTCACATACTTGACAAGAAAATGGTTTTTCCCCAGTGTGCATACGCATGTGGTGCTTTAAATTTGAGCTCTGTGAAAATGATGAACCACACAATTCACAAGAAAATGGTTTCTCTCCGGTATGTATTCGCATATGCTTTTTTAAAGTTGAGCCATCTGAAAAAGCTGAGCCACAAATTTCACAAGAAAATGGTTTTTCTCCTGTGTGTATTCGCATATGCCTTTTTAAATTGGATCGTTCTGAAAATGCTGATCCACACACAGGACAAGAAAATGGTTTTTCTCCAATGTGTATTCGCATATGATTTTTTAAATATGAACCATCAGAAAATGCTGATCCACACATTTGACAAGTAAATGGTTTCTCTCCATTGTGTAATCGCATGTGATACTTTAAATTGGAGCTCTGTGAAAATGCTGAACCACACAATTCACAAGTGAAAGGTTTCTCTCCAGTGTGGATTCGCATGTGAGTTTTTAAACTCGAGCTCTCTGAAAATGCTGATCCGCAAACTTGACAGGAAAATGGCTTCTCTCCAGTGTGTACTCGCATGTGTTTTTTCAAACTGGAACTCTGTGAAAATGCAGATCCACACACTTGACAAATACATGGTTTCTCTCCAGTGTGTATTCGCATATGGTACTTTAAATTGGAGCTCTCTGAAAATGCTGAACCACACAATTCACAACAGAATGGTTTCTCTCCAGTGTGTCTTCGCATGTGTTGTCTTAAATTGGAACTCTCTGAAAATGCTGAACCACAAATCTGACATGAAAATGGTTTCTCTCCTGTGTGTATTCGCATGTGTTTTTGTAAATTGGAGCTATCAGAAAATGCTGATCTACACACTTGACATGAAAACGGTTTCTCTCCAGTGTGTATTCGCATGTGTCTTTTTAAACTGAAACTATCTGAAAATGCTGATCCACATACTTGACAAGAAAATGGTTTCTCTCCTGTGTGTCTACGCATGTGTCTTTTCAAACTGGACATCAAAGAAAATACAGATTTACACAATTCACATGAAAGTTGTTTCTCTCCAATGTGTTTTTGCATAATGTCTTTTTTTTAAAATATAAAGCCTGTGAAAATATTGATTTGCAACACTTCACAAAAATTACTCTACACTGTGTGTAGTTTGAAATGTAAATTTTGTAAAAATGCTTCTTTTTGTAAAAACTTTGAATTATTGAAGAATTTCTTCTTTATGTACTTGTATGGAATTATTCAAACAGGAAACCTGTGAAAATCCACACATCTACTAAGGATGTGGTTTTGACATTTGTATATGTCTTCCAATAGTCATGTTAATCCAGTATTGATACCTGTGAAGAAAGAAAAGGTATTTTATATGAAAATAATAAACATATTTTAATAGCTGCAAATAGTGTAACTCAAACAGAACATGAATGCACAAATTCTAGGTATTTATTTATCTGAAGCATCGGTGCTAAAAACTATGTTAAAAGGTGACAAATATTTTTTTTACCTGGACAGCAATAGGAATGCCAAGATCTGAGATTATACTTGAGGACCTACTGTGTCAGATATCTGGTGACAGACTTCAAAGTTTAATTTCAAAGCTTGTAAATGTCTTCTACTATATTGTTAGTGTACCTGAAGAGTTACTAAGTTATTGGTGATATGTGCTGCAAGCCTTACATTATCACCTTTTAAAACCAATATTTTCCCAAATACAAAAGCATGTGCTCATTTAACTGTCAAAACTATAATGGATTCTTTAAAAAAAAAAAAAACAGAAGTTACTTGAGACATTTTTGCCTTTGTAAGATGATTTACATTCAAATAAGACAACTCTGCACATTGGATTCATTGTGGTTCATAATATATGGTTCCATAAAGTAGTCTAGCATCATTTTGACATGAATAAAAATGAATACATTTATCCTGCGATGTTTCATAAGCTAAAGAAAAATATCATATCCTGACCACCACTATTATGAATTCTATGAATCATTTTGGCTCATATAACATTCAGACAACCCTGTGTTCTCAGTCAGAGTTGAGGGATTATATATATATATATATATATATATACATGTGCTAACCGTATTCGGAAACTAAAAACATCACTACCACACACTGAACATACACAGAACACACACACTCTACTAAGCTGATATTGAATCATCCTTGATAATGGCTAAAGATATAGCCGA